AGTATTGGGAGCATAACCTTTGGTGGGTAAGACCCTCACTCCTGCCATCGGAAGAAGTGAGTTTCTTACCCACGAAAGCTTATGCTCCCAATACTTCTGTTAGTCTTAAAGGTGCCACAGGACCCTCTGTTGCTTTTTACTCATTTTTCTTGGCATTTGTGTGGTAAAACTTCTTTTTTTAGAACAGCAATTTTTCCGATGGGCTCTTGAAAGGGAAGTTACCTGGTGTTTTCTGCCTCCCATCCCTCCTACCTAGTGTGCTAACAGCTGCAGATACAGAGTGACACCGGTTTCAGGCTAGCCCGTGTGAGGTAGAACAAGGCGCAGCGCGCACCTGGAGTGTCCAAGCATTGATCTTCTCTTGACCTCCCTGACCCTAGCGCTCCTCTCCCCGGGATGGGGCTGCCTGCAAACAGGCACTTCCAATATTAAATCCCACACTCTCCCAAGGGACTCTTCCGCCGCAATAAATAGTCCCCTGTAAAGACAGTGGAATCTTAGTCCGGGGTAGGGGGGCAGGTTGTTTGTTTCGGTTTTTTTTTAGACCGGGGGGGGGCAACACAGACGTACACATGTCCACCGCACAGGTGTCTGAGGGGTGCACGTGCAATGAATGCTCAGGGCAATGCCCCCCCTTCTCTCCCCTCCCGTGCAGAAGAGCTCTGCCCCCAGCCAAGTTGCCCATTAGCCAGACGAGTGCGGCGGAGGGATACCGAAGGCATGCCTTTTTTGGGGGCAAAGTAGCGCCGGGAGAAGTGGAGTTGGGAGAAGTTGGCCCGGCGGAGTAGAGTGAAAAAGGCCGGCGCGAGGGCGGCTTGGGGGAGGGGGGACTCGCTCCGCAGGCTCAGCCCCGCCTGGCCCCCGGCCGGGCTATGTCAGCGCTGCAGGGCCAGCCCGGGAGCGCGCGGGGCTGCTGAGCCCGGGAGGAGAATGAAGCTGCGGGGCTGCCGCCGCCTGGCTGCCGCCTGCCTGGTGCTGCTGGGGCTCTGGGGGCTGAGCGCAGAGGCTGCGGTAAGTGCTGCCCCCCTTTCTCCCGGGGCGCCGCTCCGCTCCTGGCCGCGGGGATTTCCTCCGCCCCGCTGGCTCGGCGGCGTCTCGTATTTATAACCCGGGTAACCCAAAACCGCCGGGACGGGCGCTTTGGGGAGCTTTCGGCTGTTTAAAAATAGGGTGTTGCGCCGGGAGCTCTGGCCGTGCAGCGCTGGGAGCTGGGGAACCCCCCTCCCCGGGTAAGTGCGTCTGGGCTGCAGCCCCCGTGCGAGCAGGGCGCCCGTGCGAGCAGGGCGCCCGCACCGCCCCGTGCTCCTTCCCCCGGCCACGGTGACAGGCTGCATCGCAATCCAGAGCTTCCCCCCAGCGCCCGCCGCTCGCTCCTCGCCCAAAGGCAGCGGTGATGGGGCGCGACAGAGAGAGAAACTTGTGTGTCGTGTCGCGGGGGGGGGGGATGTCCCTGCCCTCGAGTGTCTTCTGGTGGCTCTGTCTGGGGCTCCGCCACGGGGCTGGCTGCGAAGCAAAGGCAGCAGATGTGTTTTCTCTCTTTCTCCGCATCAGTTTCACTGCTCCCCTCGCGCTCTTTTGCAAGCGTGTGAGTGGAACTGGCAGCTCGGGAGCCGAGCTGGAAGTGACAGAGAGAGAGAAAGGAGGGCAGCCCCACAGAGGTCTGTCTGTCTGTGCGTTAGCTTCACTGTTACCCTAGCACAAAGGTGTTCATCTGCATCCCTAACTCCTACCCGGACCTGGTGGGGACTTTCAGGAGACTTCAGGGCATGATTTTTGGGGATTGGTCCTGCTTTGAGCAGGGGGTTGGACTAGATGACCTCCTGAGGTCCCTTCCAACCCTGATATTCTATGATTTTGATGGCAAGCATCTCCTCTGGTTGTATCTAGCCTTCCTGAGAGTACTTCAGTTCTGCCTTTTGCATATATATATATATATATATATATATATATATATATATATATCAGGCTGAGAGAGTTGCAGGGATGGTAGAGGTGTGCTGTGATCTGGAGCATGTACAGTAGGTGGCTTTGGGAAATACTATATCCCCGTTTGGGAAGGGGAAGGGACCATACATCTGCCCTGGAATGGTTAGGCCTTAAGAATGGGAGAAAAGACACAGGATTTGTGTAGTTGTTTCACCTAAAATAAATAATAGCCTAGTTCGTGAATAAACTCAGCAAAATTAGTGGAGCTGCATACAGATACATATGTAGCCAAAAAAGTCTCATTTCTTTGCACCATCATAAATTGTACTATCACAAACTTTTCTCTAAGGTTAAATGTTTAGGCTGTATAATTTTTTTTTTCAGTTAGGGAGATGATATGGGGGAAATTGTTTATGCTTCCTGTTAAAGGAAAAGTGCTAAATGATCGTCTCCTGGCTGAAATCTGAACTTCTATGAACATGAGAAATGCCCAGAACATGATTTTCCCCCCTCCCCCTCCATTTTTCTTAAAAAAATCAGAGCTATCAGAATGGTATAGTTGTTCTAAGTATCTTCCTTTAGGATGAAACTTTTAGACATAGCATTGGCCTTCAAAAAAGTAAAAATGTTATGTTCCTCCCACCTTCCCCCAGGGCTATATGTCCTAATGAGATTATGATCAGAGGAAGATCATCATAAAGGGTATGATTTTATAGTGTGATCTCAATAGCAGCCTGTCTAATAGATACCAACTATCCTGTTGTTATTCTGGGAATTTTTAAGCAAGTAGATTTAGTGCCGTGGACTGAAGTGGGCTCATGTCTTGACCAAATTTGTATTTGGACTTATTATTCTAACCACCTTAATGCATTTTTGTTTGTTTGTTTTTAATAAAAATAGCATTTTCTCTGGCCCAGTGCCAGGTTATTGAAATAACTGTGTGTATAGCAATGTACACTGAGAGCAGGGTGAATATATTGGAGTTAGGATGATGCTTCCATTCAGCTACGATAAGACAGCCCAGATGGCTTGTCCAAAAATGTGCACCAGAGCCTCATACAACAGAGGAGGGAAGAACTGTACTCACTTATTTTGATTATTCATGGACCTCATTGGATATGGAAGTTTGGCAGTGCGCTTTTGAGTAAGTAATATGAACACTATATGGATTTGTGATTCATATGCTATGTTGTCTTTACAATGAATAGTGTAAGTCTTATTGGAGAGTGGCTACACTAATATGTTTAACCTATTTTGAAAAAGTGGCATTCAGACACAACAAAATCCAAGCAATTGAATCTGGAAACATACATGGAAACGTCCTATATAAAGTTCTTGGGGACTCTAAAATAAGGGGAGAAGCTAGAAAGGATAAAATGGGAAACTGAGAGGGAATGTTCTTCTGCTGGCCTCAGATATATTGACAGTTGCCATATGCTATACTTCAGAAGTGCCCAGTTTGTTTTCTTTATACACACTTTTATACGGGCTGAACATTAATATAGAATGAGGCATATAACTGTTGGAGAACAATGGAAAATTAGCAGGTAGACTAATAGCAGTTATTTGTTAAAGTGGTAGTGAAGTATAGTGCAATTGTTGCATAAAATGTTGCTTACTCTAGAATGAAAATGATGCGCTCATAAGGGTATGTTGTCATGTTTACCATAGGTAGGTGGAAACATACCTACTACAAAACAGAGTTCCTTCAAGTAGAGTAGTTTGAAGAAGCGATGTTCTTGAATAAATGCTCTGTTACATGTTGGGTATTGATGTGCATATGACTCCTGTTAGCAGGTGGCATTTCAGTTGCATCACAGCAAATGTAGAATAGGACAAACATGCCTAATGAAGAGCTCTATGTAAGCGCAAAAGGTTGTCTCTCTCACCTACAAAAGTTGGCCCAATAAAAAATATTTCCTTACCCACCTTGTCACTTTTAATGTGTGACTGTTACAAAACTGGTATAGTTGTTTGTTTGTTTTGTTTTTTAAGGATGGTTGAAAGCAATAAACATTGCACTAGTTTTCAACTGGTGGAAAATCTGTGAAATTCCATTGAAACTAACGGAGTTATGCTGGCTTACATTAGGCAAGAATCAGGGTCTTAATTACCAAAAATTCACTAAAAACATACAAAATACACAGATTGGGTCAACCACAAAGTGGCTAGTGAAGGTAAATTTTAAGTAATATAGAACTGATTTAAAAAAAAAGAGCTAGAAATATGTTATACATAAATGTAATAAGTTGGATTTTGAGGTATTAAGTGAAACTAATGCTGTGAATTAAAAGGGGAAGGTGGGAAAACATTTTAAATGATTTTGTGGTGTAAAAGATGGAGGGAAAAGAAGAAAATAGTACTATGCTTTGTAAAATAATTTGACCTCTAATGCAATTGACAAAGGCCATCAAACTCTCTCTTAAATTTCTTTGGTGATTGCATGGTTGGCAGGTTGAATAAAGAAATATAATTTCTACAGATTTATTGCTTTGTTTTAAGTGAAATGTTTGGTGGTGGGCTTGAGCTGAGCATTTTTGTGACCTGGAACCAGGGTGGATTTGATTTTAAGTCAAATTGATTTAAATCCTGATTTAAATCACTAGTCAGGAAGACTTGATTTAATCATGGATTTCTACATAAAAGTGCAT